AACTGATATGCTCAACTTGTTCACGAGTCCACAGCATGAGCATGTCGTGACGCATGTCCCTGCACTGACTTTACCCGAACGCTGTATAGACTCGTTTTACAACCATTTCCATGCCGCACATCCCTTTGTGTTGCCGAAGGAGTCACTTCTGATGATCTCTCACGAGAGTTCTGTGATGCCCGTACTCGCTGTCATGCGCTGGATCGGCTCATTACATATTCCAGCATGTTCAGAGCGGGGGAGATTCTTCCAGGAAGCTCATCAACTCATCTACGAACCGCGTCGTCGAAAAGATGGGTTCCTTGTACAGGCTTTGTTACTCCTTCTGATCGGGTTGGATGGACAAGGCCAACAGGACCAAGCTCGACAAATATTATCTGGACTCGAGAGAATTTCTGTGGATATTGGTCTCAATACGAGATCATATGCGACCACTTACGGGAGAGGCATTCCCATGATGGAAGAGAGTTGGAGACGGACGTGGTGGGAGCTTTTCATTGTGGACGGGCTAATCGCTGGTGTCCATCGAAGCACGAACTTTTTGCTGTTCGATGTGGCTTCTGATGTTGCCTTGCCTTGTGAGGAGCATGAATATCTGTCCGGTGTAAGATATTAATTCCTTCGTATGGTAGAATATCTCTGACCTGATTGACTCTGTAGGACATTCCCGAGCCAATGTATCTTAGGGATATGAATGAGAGTGACTTCTCCGGTACAAGCCACAAGTTTTCATCTTTCGCGTATCGAATACAAGCGGCTCAAAATCTCGGACGACTCTTGAGAATCCCTCCCGTTTCTGGACCTGACGACGAAAGCCTCAGAAATATCCAGACGATGTTGACGAGTTGGCGAGTCAGCTTACCCAAGTCAAAGGCAGACGCTGTACGGCAATATGGCCATTTTGATGAGATGCTCTTTCAAGCTCACATGATAACTCACGCTACGTCGATTCTGCTTCATCAACCATATTCGCAGCTGAACTCAATATTGAGCCAGTCAAACAACCAGACCGACCAATACAATTCTGTATCGTCAGTAGACGATTTCAACAACCATACGAAGAACATAATACAGGCCGCGACAGAGATCAGCGAGCTTGTCACCCATCGTGTCTCGCTACTTTCTCACAGTCACTTCTTCAGTTACGTGGTTACAATGTCCTCTATAATTCACCTCAACAGATGGGCTATATTCACACCCGATAGCGAGAACAACTTGCGCCAGGTTCTGCGCTTCAACATTGGTGCCCTCTCACGGATGTCTTTGGTATGGAGCGCTTCAGAGCGAGAGAGTAGTTCTGTGAAGAGCATGGCTCGAAGCATCTACCAGGTCAAGAAGCAGCATAGGACACTGCCACAGTTTTGGATCAGTATGACCCATGATGAAGTGATGGACAAGATTGCGGCGGACGACGCTATGATTCACGAGTTTGAGGATATGCAGGTTGTGCCTGGTATGATGGGTCATTGGACCGATCCTGGGAACAAGCAATGGAATTAAACACTACCGGCCTAGGGCTTCCAAGAAAAGGTTGTACTTGAAACTTGATTTGAAGCTAGGCGTTTTGGCTGGTGACTTCGAGCCGAGAGACTTTGATGCACTGTTGCAACGGATAAGATGTATAGATGCAAAATGTACATGTGCGATGAGAAGTAATTAGACTGTTATGATGTATAGAGTATTGTAGCCCTATTTAGAAATTGGAGGATACATGTTATTCCCGGCATGGCATTATTTGTCTAATACCTATCTCTGAGTCGTGAGAATGATGCCTGGAAGAAGAGGAAGACCGGATAAGTCGGCTTGACTCTCAGATATCAAAGACACGGCATTTCTAATTTAGATCAAGAATAAGCTTCATATTCTCGCCGTCGCTGTTTAAAACGGCCCTCGGCGATGTCGAGTCTTCGGCTCGTCGGCGACCCTGGTCGAGATTCAGCCCTATTACTCGGGAATTAAGCCATCACGAGCCAATCACATGAAGGAGCCAACAAGTCGGGACGGATTCAGGAACTGGGTGAAATCTTACTCAGAAGCTGAATTCACATGCATGGGTAATACGAAAAGAAATAATCTAAACACCGAGATTGCTTACATGCATGGAAATTTATGGATGCAATTCCACCACCCGTAAGCTTGAGATTATCTGATAACTCGGCAGTTGTTCACTATACAGAGAGATCTAGATACAATAGAGATGAGCCGGATCCCGGATATCGGTCTTTCTGATCTGCTTCTTGTTTATCGTCCGCTTCCATTCGGAGACATGTTCAGCTTTGACAGGCTGTAGAGCCATAGAAGCAGTAATACATACGTCAGCTCAGAGGTCCCAAAATGGTAGTGGCGGAGCTCGAGTAAGCAATCAAAATTTACCAGTCGCGGCGCACCTTTTGCTTCAGCTGAAAATTGGTGGATGGCACGGGCTATAGTCAAGACGCCGAAAGATGAGACAGTCTCTCCTCTGTCCTCTTAGATTGATTTCTCCAGATGACTGCAGTGTTTACTCATATATAAGAACACAGCATGCAAGTTGTCTTTTCTTGACATCACCAAAACAATCAATTGCTACACTCACCAGTGCCCTCCAACCCCCTTCATCTCTACTACGGTACTCAATCGTGAAGCCATCAAAATGACGGTCCGTAAGTCATCTGACTTGGACAACAGCATGGACTCAGAGCAACGTCCTGTCGCAGAGAAGCATCTTCTCAACACCACAATCAAGAATTTCACTTGGCGCAACGTCACTGTAACAGTCAAAGACAGAGAAACAAAACAGCCCAAGGCAATCGTTGATAATGTCGAAGGCATAGTCGAAGCAGGTTTGTGGTGACCGTCATTCTTCAGTGATACCACGCTGATAATATTTCCAGGAGAGATTTGCGCCCTCATGGGTCCCTCAGGTTGCGGGAAAACAACACTTCTTAACGTACTAGCACGCCGTCCAACGAATGCGAGCAGTGCTGAAGCAGAAGTCAACATCAACGGAAACCATTTGTCCCTTGCCGAGTTCAGAGAAGTCTCGTGCTTCGTTGAACAGGAAGATGCCCTCATTGGCTCGTTGACTGTTCGAGAAACACTCGAGTTCTCATCGCGGCTCGCCAGCTCAAGGTAAGCATTCTGTCTACACAGCTTCTAGATAGTATCTGACCATGGATAGTTCTTTGTCTAAGAAAGAACGGATCGTCCGCATCAACAACCTCCTCGAGTCTTTCGGTCTAGTCGAACAAGCCAATACCCTTATCGGAACGCCGATTCGTAAGGGTATCTCAGGTGGCCAGAAACGTCGTGTCGGTGTTGCGAGTCAACTCATCACTAGTCCCAAGCTTCTTTTTCTTGATGAACCGACAAGTGGTCTCGACTCAGCTGCCAGTTTAGAAGTTGTTAAATATCTTCGCGATGTGGCCAAGCGCAACAACCTTATTGTCATCTGCTCTATCCATCAACCATCCACATCGACCTTCAACTTATTCGACAAGTTGCTCCTCCTATCTGGCGGAAAGACCCATTACTTCGGACCTGTAAACAGTGTTGCGGCATACTACTCCGAAGTTGGATCTCCGCTACCTCAGTATGTCAACCCTGCCGAGCATCTTCTTGAGCTGGTCAACATTGACTTTGCCCAGGATAGAGGCGAGGCAACAAGAGACTTGGAAACACTTCAAACCGCATGGCAAAACTCACGACAAGCGAGCGAAGTCAAAACTACAATCAAGGCTGCCGAATCTTTGGGTGGTGACTGGAATATCGATGCAATTGAGAAGAGGCCTAGCATGTTTAGCCTTACGCTTACTCTTCTCCATCGAAGTTTCATCAAAAGCTATCGAGATGTCGTAGCCTACGGAATTCGTATCGCTATGTATCTTGGTCTCGCCATCATGATGGGAACTGTCTGGGTAAGGCTCGACCCTGCGCAAGAGTCTATTCAGCCATTCATCAACGCCATCTTTTTCGGCTCAGCCTTTATGAGTTTCATGGCAGTGGCTTATGTCCCTGCTTTCATTGAAGATCGGCTCCAATACGTCAAAGAGCACCACAATGGCCTTTATGGAGCAGCGGAACTTATTATATCCAACTTCTTCATCGGCGTTCCTTACCTGTTCCTTATTTCCATTCTCTTCTCAGTCATCTCATACTGGCTTTCCAACTTCCAGCCAACTGCAAAGGCCTTCTTCACCTGGGTTCTGTGGCTGTTCCTCGATCTGCTCGCTGCAGAGTCACTTGTTGTCTTTATGACATCCCTATTTCCCAGTTTCGTAATCTCTCTTGCTCTGGTGGCCTTTGCGAATGGCCTGTGGATGTCGGTTGGTGGCTTCATGGTGCCTCCAACTATCCTTAATGTCTTCTACAAATACGTCTTTCACTACTGGGACTACCAGAAGTATGTGTTCGAGGGTATGATGGTCAATGAGTTTGCCGATCGAGTCTACAGCTGTGGTGACGGATGTCGCTGCATGTATCAGTCAACCCTGGCGGACCAGTGTGAAATCGACGGACAGGCTGTTTTGAATCAGTATGGATATTCGAACGGACATATGGGACGCAATGTCGGCATTATGATTTCCATCATTGCTGGATACCGACTGGCGTCATGGCTAGTTCTAGTATTGAGGAGGTAATTACGTCTGTTCTGTAACACAGGCTTTATCGGTATATCATCACAAGGTTATTTCAGTCTTATATAGCGATGGTTTAATCGGGTCTTAGATAAAACAAGTACAATTAACCTTAATCAGTAGCATTGTCAGTTCTTGTATCGTCTTTCCTAAAATTCACAGGATGCAGTTCGTCAACAAACACCAGGAAGAAAGTCGAGATTGACCCGTAATGGGTTGGTTGGGTTCTTGAGCACTGGGGGCACCGTGTAGGCTAATTTTACAGTTAGTAGGTATGAACTGTGATCTTGTTGAGAGACTGACTCGAGAATGATATAGAAGCCTCGGCCGTTTGCCCAACTACAGAGTTGAGTCAAGTATTCCAAACCACCCTCCAAGTATTAGCTACAGCATATCAAGAAACGATTCAAATACCTTGGGGAAGTGCTCTGAATCGTCAACAAGGTCTTCCTTTAGCCAATATCCTAGAGGCAGACGAATAGTGTTCAGGCCATAGCTCATCATCTCGTCGAGATCGGTTTGATTGATCCAGCGTTTCCAATGAGCTTGAAAGTTTTTGTCTGCAATGTCTTGTCCCTTGTTCATGACACAGTCAAATTCGGACTTTTCCCCCTCACAACCTGTGTTGGCCCATTCTTGGCTATCGATCCAGGGCTCAAAGATGAAGAGGGAGCCGAGGTTTACTCCTCGGATCTTTTTGGTTGCTGGAAGCCACCTTTTGTTGTTAGGCTCTGTTCGAAGAGGGTATACAAATATTTCATGCTTTCATAGCATACCACTATCATTTGATGCTCTGTGGCTGTGTGTGTAAACTGGTTTGTAGGATCAGGATTCAGTCTTAGATAAATGATGTTACATGGATGTAATATAATATGTCTGTATGCCTATGCTGTGGAAACACAATAGGATTCTTCCGACTTCAGAGGCAGCGATAGGAGCTGCTTTCTCAGACTTTCAATTCCAAGGACTGAGACTCATAATCAGGAGAGAAATGATTACAAACTTCTAGAGATTCTGAAGCATTTCTTTACTTTGTTGGCACATTTCGTCCCAATCCCTCAACAACCCATGTGGCCGTGTTCTAGGGAATGGTGGGGCAGCATTTATTTAGGGACGGTTTCATAAGAATTGTTTCACTAATCAGCTGGCCTTCATTAGTGAATGACGAAAGACGAAAGGAACGATTTGTGCATTTCTTGGCTGCATAAACGCTGCATTTGTTTGTGGAGAGATCTTTGGTGTGACTCTCTGATAGCTTAGCTGCATGACCTTGTAGATCCTGGTAGCATTGACTTCAGATTTTACATCTCTCAGGGAATCAAAACCTTGACCTTTCAGTAAGTTCAATACTGCGTAATAGTGCAACATTAAGATCATGGAAACCTAGACTGCACTTTTCAGGTACCATCGCAACGGATCATACGGAACTTGGGCCGACACGTCGTAACAGCGCACGGCCTGGGGCATATTGCATCAGTCTGCGAACTCCTAGTGGTTCAAACAGCCTCATGATGAAAAGCTTGACAAGTGTCAAATCGGAGCCTAAGCACATTGCAGTTTTGAGAAATACTATGTGGGTTCTCTGATCGAGCACAGAGACGGTGAAGGATGAGGCGAGTCATAGTTGAGTACCGAGAGGGACTAAGTGTTTAGAAAGCAGACGACGATCAAGGTGTTTGAGGCACTGCCTAACTGGTGCAAATAAATCAGTTACTATCATACCAGCTAAAAAGATTAAATAGAATAGGTACTCGTCACATCCAATACAATGCTATTGATGAAGCCTCCCGTCTACTTTCTTCACCGCCGACGGCCCCACTATCGGGCGACCCACAAATATCTTCGAAATGCTCCAAACCTGGCAGGTACGGATGATGATGGGATGCGCTGGCTGGTTTCCCCACCAACCATCCCTACCTTAGCAACTGGCAACGGTGACGGTGACGGGAAGAGTTCCTTCCCAGACGGAACGACCCAAGTCCTCGAGCTTGGCTTGCGTACCTACCTACCTTTTTTTTTTTTGTAGCTTCTTTTCACCTACACAAACCTGGGCTCTAGGCATCTCATTGTCCTTGATTTCAGTAACCGGTTCTACGACTACGACGGGATCTAAGGCATGATGTTTGTGCTAGAACTCTTAGCCTAAGACATCCGACATCGCCCTCGCTTCTCGACCTACACCTACAGGCATTCAGCAAGGTCATCAACAACATTCCTTCATTCCGATCTCAAGACGAGAACCACACCAAACGCTACGACGAACCAGAAATACCTCGAAACTTCACCGCGCGAGACATCCCGATCCCGCCTGAAACACAACTTTCCTTACTGTCGTCGCCATCATGGCGCCGGCAACCGATGAACTCTCTGCACCTGGTGCAGTGAGTTATGATTCAAATACTCAAGTCGTCGGAGATGGAACCTGGGATTTTGACAAAAATACATTTCTACTGCCCAATTTGCAGGGTCTCAACCATGAAACCATGCGTTACAATGGTATTCAAGCCCATCTTCGGGTTCAAGGATTGTATTCGACTAACACTGGGTGATAGGCATGGGAAACAGATTTTCCACACTTACACAATATCATGGTCTTGTACTGGCACATGCCGTTTTGGGAACGATAATATTCCTCTTTCTCATCCCTTTTTCTGTCATGACTGCCAGATTCTATTCAAGGCGCCCCGGCTGGGCCATCAAATACCATGGTCAACTCAACGTCTTTTCCGGCTTGTTGCTGGTGCCTCTCTTTATCCTGGGCTACTTTGCGGTCGGACCTGAGCGAAGCTTGACGAACCCACATCATGGGATTGGTGTCGCCATATTCACTCTATTTCTAGTGCAGCTTATGGGCGGTTGGATCGTGCGAAGGGTGGCCAAGTCCGTCTCATTGCGCATCATGATTCACCAATGGTTCGGTCGAGCGATTGCCCTTTTAGGCATTACTCAGGTTCCCCTGGGACTCACCTTATACGGCTCGCCACTCTACCTGTTCATTCTCTACGCTGTCTGGATGTTCTTTCTGTTTATCTTGTACTTCATCTTGAGTTGGCGGTCTGCTTCTCACAGAGACTACTACATGGGTGGAGCACGCTCAGAAATGCGGTCTGAGTTGGCGCCAACAGAAGATACACGCACTCGATACACAGAGTCTGAATATTTCTCAGAGTACAAATCGGAGCCTCCTAAGAGCAAAGCCAAATGGCTAGGTCCATTTATCGCACTCGGTGGACTCGCAGCCCTCGCTAGAGGACGAAACAAGAATAAGAATCAAGACAGTGGCAGTCGAGTCCGAAGTCGATCTCCTTCCTTTGATCGCAGCCAAAGACCAGAAGTTCTTCCATCTAGGACCGGATCAGCTAGCTACCTCACTGGGCATACCGGGGAAAAGTATTCCGATGTAACGCGGAAAGACAATGGCGGAGCTGGAGCCGGAGGTGGAATCGCAAAGTTCTTGGCCGTCCTGGGACTCGGAAAACTGTTTTCCAAAAAGAATCGCACTCGCGATGAAGATTACTCGGAGTATTCTGCAGTATCGACTGAGACGCCCAGACGCCATCGCGCAACCGCGAGCGCTCCCACTATGACTGACTTTACCAGGACTGATTTCACCAGCGATGTGACGCCCAATAATAGAAGAGAGCCCGATATCACCCGTACTTCGTTACTCCCTCCCTCTGGAAATCGCCCGCCACCTCCCGCGATGTCGCAAATGCGGAGCGCCGCTGATGGAAGTTATACCGAGACTGCTCTGAGCTCCCCTCCTCCATCCGTGACCCCTCGAGGCAAACGGTACCCGCCAAATTCAGGCCGCAGCTTTTTCGAAGAGTCAGACTATTCCTCCTATGTCAGTCCTTCTCGACGACCACAACCCGAGAAATCTGGTGGTGGTTTTGCGAAAGGGCTGCTAGGTGGGCTTGGTTTCGGATGGTTTGCGAAGAAGATGGCGGACAGGAGGGCAACAAAGGAAGAGCAACGCTTACGTGATGAAGAGGACTTGAGATCTGGTACCTCATTATCCAGGTTCACCGGCGGCGACGGACACGACTCTCCCACGAGACGAGACAGTCGCCGGCCCATCGAACGTCGACAAACAGGCTACCCTCCCACGGACACGCTTCTATCAACCGAGATGTCGGAATCGACCATTGAGCCCCGGCCTGCACGAGGTAACTACGTCCCACCTACTGAAATGAGCACTTTACCCCCACAATCAAATCTCCCACCCGTGGCCGGCCGTGCAGGAAACCACTCGAGACGCAGCAGTGAGCATGTCTCAATGCCTGCGATGCCACCTGATCCCCACGGTATCCTGGCACCCACTGAAACGACGGCCTCAGGAATATCCCCAGGATCTCGGGCTCAGCGGTCCCGTCAAGGCCGGCCCGGTGACCGAGATACATCAAGACTTGCCCCAGGCGAGGAAGATTCGCGTTACGAACGCTATGCATCCCCAGCCAGTGTCAGTGTCAAGATGAAGGTACATGATGATAAAGACAGGAACGTGACCCTCCGACGACTTACAGAGGAGGAAGCAAAGGCAGCGCGCCGAAGAGACTCTGTCAGCAGCATCTCTGGACTCGAGTCTCCCTCGTACCGCCGACGTTATCGAAGAGACTCCAGCCAAAAGCGAGCTGAGACGGCTGCCGAGCGAAGAGCTGAAGAGGAGGATGCCATGCCGCCTCTGTCCCCCCCGAACCCTTCCTTTGCCAAGCAAAAACGACGAGGCAAAGATTCCGCGTATTACTCTGGACAGCCTACACAGGCACAAACGCCCGCGTCACTACTGCCAGGAGCCTCGGCCCCGTTTGGCCAAACAGTGTCTAGTTTGGCTGAGAGCCATGGCACTTGGAGTGGTATCACTCCATCTGTCAACACCTCGCCCCCTGGACCTGCTGGGGAAGGGCCAGTTGACGGATCAGCCGCAGCAGAAAATCGACGACAACGGCGTCGACTTGAAAGGAGACGCGCAAGCGGACCTACTGCAGAACCACCCGCCACTACCAATGTTGACATGTTTGACTAAAAGACCGAGGATTGAGAGTTTGGTGTCTCTCGTTTGCCTGTCGACTTCAAGCTGACAGGTGAGCGATTGACTGGTAAAAAGATATGCATCGTGGGACGGGATCCTAGCATGGGCGGCGTTCTTGGAGGGAGATTTGTGAATTCTGTAACGTCACGTCACGTCACGTCGATTTCAATGTTTGCAGATAGACTTGGAGGACGATACTGATGTCAATGAACGAATTGATTGGCTTGAGAATGATAACTTGATATATGGCAACTTTCTTATTACTAGAGTTTGGAGGGATCCACAAAGGATTGACGATAATGAATTCAGAACTGCGCTTCTCTCATCCATATAAAGTGTGTCTAATAGTGAATTCGGTGTGATGTATGTTTACCGTGAAGCTAGTATTTGAGTGAGGTACTTGGACCGACCTTGGCCAGCTTGGATGTGATAATGATTGGCTTATAGTTACTCCGTACTGAGCTTGCTGTTGAAGCTCCTGTGTGTCGTCAGTATCCAATTCTAATGACTCCACTCTCTTCCATTAGAGCTCCACTGAACAATCCACCAGGGTCGACAGCTCTTCTGCTAAACATTCAAGTCCCTCACAGCAGAGACCACTATTGTCACTTAATCTTTTTTTCCCTTTCCTTTTTCCTTCTTATTTTTTGTTTAATCAATCTTGCGCCGCTCGGGCATCTCAATGGCCCTGAACCTGGCCCCAATTCCTCCCCTTCGACAGCGATTACGTTCCCTAACTCTTAACTACCAGACCTAACAACATTCAAGATGCCACAGAAGCCAAAGGCTAAGCCCAAGGCTCAGCAACAGCCTCCCCAGACCGAACATCAAAAGATTGCGGAACAATGGGCTAAAGCTGAAAGAGCTCGTGCTGCTCAACAAGCCGCCAATGCAAAATTCGGACTCCCTCCCGCCGAAGAGAACGTAGAGGTTCTGGAGCGACGACGCGAAGCGCTCGACAAGAGACGGCAAAACACATATGAGAAGCGCTGGCGATGGACTGCTGCCTTCTGGGCCGTCCTGCTAGCTATCCACGCGCTCGGCATCTGGCTCTTCACAAGTGGTTTCTTGTTGACACGGCTGGTGCTGGAGGACAAGTCGAACTGCACACTACCTCCAATTGAGAACACCAAGGGCTCATTGAATGTCGATCGCGGTTGCTGGCACCCTAAGTCTTTCGACAGAGCCGTTGTCGTTCTAATTGACGCGCTTCGATACGACTTTACTGTTCCCGAGGATCCGGCGCAAGCTCAGCACTTCCACAATGCTTTCCCCTACCTCTACGAGACAGCTGTCAAGTCGCCTCAGAATGCCTTCCTTCGCCCTTTTATCGCTGATCCTCCGACCGCGACGATGCAGAGACTCAAAGGTCTCACGACGGGAACACTGCCTACTTTTGTTGATGTTGGAAGCAACTTTGCTGGCGCGGCTATCGAGGAAGACAACTTGTTGATGCAGCTGAAGGACGCTGGCAAGAAGATTGCTCATCTTGGCGATGATACTTGGTGGTCTCTCTTCCCTGGTTACTTCGAGCCCAATATTAGCAAGGCCTATGACAGCTTCAACGTCTGGGATCTCCACACTGTTGATAACGGCGTTATTGACAACATCTTCCCGCTATTGAACAAAGAGCGAAAGGGCGAATGGGATCTTCTTATTGGACATTGTCTTGGTGTTGATCATGCTGGTCACCGATACGGACCTGATCACCCTGCCATGGGAGCCAAGCTTCGCCAGATGGACGACTTTATCCACAAGCTTGTCGAGAGCATTGATGACAAGACACTTCTTGTTGTTATGGGCGATCACGGTATGGACAGTAAGGGTGATCACGGCGGTGAGAGCGATGACGAAGTTGAGGCTGCTCTCTGGATGTACTCAAAGAAGCCCTTCTTTGGCAGAACCTCCTCCGACTTTGCTATTCCTCCCCCCAACGCCAAGGTTCGACCAGTGAACCAGATTGATCTCGTTCCTACCCTCGCGCTGCTTCTTGGTATTCCTATTCCCTTCAATAACCTGGGAGGACCAATTGAGGAGGCGTTTGCTGGTACTAAGGGCAACGACTGGCGTAACCTCAACGCTGTTTCGCGTGTTGCTGCAGCTGGGATTGAGAGATACCAGGCATCTTACCACAAGGCCCGAGGACTGACTCAGGCCCACGGCGCCGAGTCTCCCGCTGCTCTTTGGGAGGCTGCTCGCGTTATTGCCAAGAATGATCGCGATGCTTACGTTGCCTTCAGCAAGTTCCAGGAGACTACTCTATCTGTCTGCAAGGACCTCTGGGCACGCTTCGATGTTCCTCGTATGATCATGGGTATTGTCGTCTTTGGGTTTGGCCTCGTCTTGCTCTTGATGTACTCATCTCGGGAGGAGGAAGATGAGTACGTTATTATGAATGACGCCGAGCTCGACTATGCCGAGAAAAAGCTGGAACTCTTGGCTTTCAAGGAGAACGAGCCTGAGACCGTGGAAGTCTTGCACAAACAGATCCTCAAGGGACTTTGGGACCCCAAGATTCTCTTTACTGTCTCTGTTCTTACAGGTGTAGGCCTGTATCGCCAGCAGCCTATCGAGGGCCTTGCTGCTCTCGTTGCAGTGCTCTTCATGGCTGGTCTCAGCTCTTCCCTGCATGATGCAGGCAGGAGTATTCTCAATGTCTTCCCCTCGACTTTCTGGGGCTGGCTGGCTGCGATCTTCACCGTTAGCCAATCGATCGGGTTTGCTTCCAACTCCTACACCATCTGGGAGGATTCAATCCTTCTCTTTTTTATCACCACTTTTGGTGTGGCCAGTGCCGTCTCTGCATTCCGCATTGAGGCTCGACGGGAGAGATATCTAGGCATTTACCACTCTGTTGCCTTTATCATTCTCGGCCGTCTCGCCTCGTATTCCAAGCTTTGTCGCGAAGAGCAGATGCCATACTGCACTTCTACGTACTACGCCTCTTCGACCTCTTCAACCTCTGCAATTTGGCAGCTTGCCATCCCTTTTGGTGTATGCCTTATTCTTCCAGCCATTATCAAATCTTTCCTCGTCACAAGCAGGTCGTATGAGGGTCTGGCCCCAACTTGGATTGGCTATGTCATCCGTGGAGGCCTGTTTTTGTCTGCCCTGTACTGGGTTATTGATGCCGCTGACAATGGCGGCTGGCTCGAGGGACGTCTCGCCGAAGGAACCCCCAAGACCATTGGAGTTTATCTAGCCCAGATTGTCCTCGCTCTCGCCTTCATTGCCGGAAGCACTGCTTTTGTTTGGGCGCCTCCCTGCGTCTCCCTCCTTCAATCTGCTGGAGCTGGCGGTCGTCCTGTTGTCACTATTATTGGATATGGTAACGCTATTGGTGCTCGCTACTTGTTGCTCCCGCTTAACCTTCTTTTGGGATGCTTCCTCCTTTCGAAGCCCATGGGCGGTGGTGCCCTTGCTCTTATGTTCTGGCAGATTCTTACCCTGGCTGAGCTTTTGGATCTCAACGAGCTCAAGACCAGCCCCATTGGGCCCATTATGCTTGCTGTACTTGGAAACTTCTACTATTTCAAGACGGGCCACCAGGCTGTACTGTCCAGCATTCAGTGGGATAGCGCTTTCATCCCTCTCTTTAGTATCCGCTACCCTTGGACCCCCATCGTGGTTATCCTTAACAGCTTTGCGGGCCAGATCATCGCTGCTGCGTCTGTACCACTGCTCGCTCTGTGGAAGGTCGGTCCCAAGCAGAAGGGAGTTTTAGAGACAGCCACCCGCGGCATCGGCGTCTTCATCATCTACTATGCCGTTGAAGCCCTGGCTACGATGAGCTGGGCTGGCTGGCTGCGCCGTCACCTGATGCTATATCGTGTATTCAGCCCCCGCTTCATGCTTGCGAGCACCGTCCTGCTCGTTCTTGATCTGGTGACTATTCTCGTCACTCTGACTGGCCTGCGTAGCAACACCTTGTCCCTCGGCGAGGTGTTCGGGTGGGCCGATTAGATGTATTGATGGCTAGAAGCGTGTATGATATGTGTGCAGATAAGGGGTTCCGTCGCATTTTAGGCAGAATAACTCTTGTGTTATCTATCAATAGGAAAGGAACGAAAATTAGGATAATGGAGAATAGAGCGGTGTCATCTGGGGCGTTCAGTCCATGCCAGTCTTTTGGTTAGACAATCATATTGCAGCATGTCGGCATTTTCTTATATCCAGTCATATCATCCATAGCAAAATAAAATATCAAATCAAATTCGTCGTTACTTGGTGGCAACATCCGCTGTTCCCTTGACAGCCATTCCTCCTTGTGGCCCCTCGATCCAAACATCCCATCGTCCTTCAGCGACGTCTTCTTTCGAAACTTTGCGGATATTAATGGTCATGCGCTCATTGACGTACAAAGGCGCGTAGTTCCTGTAGCTGAACTTGTATACGGCTACACCAGCGCCGATTCGGTCGTTGAGGAAGCGAAGCATCAGAGCAAGAGTGAACGGGCCATGGACCAAAAGTGCTCGGTGACCATCAACTTCTCGCGCGAACTGGGGATCGAAGTGAATAGAGTGAGCGTTGAATGAGAGCGCCGAGAAGTGGAAGAGGTGTATCGGTGAAGGTGTGAGCGAGGTTGAGTACCTCGGTTGTTGAGGGTCTGAGATTGGTGTCAGTAATGATGATCCTGGAGCTTGATATGGAAAAACCTTACACTTGAGCAAACGTGGAGGTGAAGGTGGCGAGGCAGACCTTTCTTCGTCCCTCATAAACACCAACGTCCTCCTCTCTTCGATGTCCCACTCTGTCCTCCCGTCAATCTCATGACCGGTTCCATACTTCCTCCAGACATCAACAAACACCTTCTCCTCGCCCTCTTTGCCTCTCAAGGTAACATCCTCAATCGATTCCTTACAGATCGCCGGTCTCGCATCAAGCTTCATCTCATCTCCTCTGAAAACAACCTCGCCGCCTGCCCATACACGCCGCGTATAAGGCGGGCCAGGCGAATGATCAGGATCTGCGCCATCAGGAATTAGACGCGAGGGAGGCAATTGGATGGGGAAGTAAACAAGATGATGGCCTTGGGGAAGAGCGCGAGGAGGCGATGATATTTCTGACTCCGTGGGCAAAGGATATAGAAGGTCGTTAATTGTGGTGGTGAGGAGATGAGAGGGCATTGGAGTCAGATAGTCTGCTATTATCTTTGGTGGGTGGGCTTTGAGTGATGAGATTATGGATGATGATGATTTTGTGGTATAGGCTCTGCTAAATACAGGACCGCAACGGCGGTTAAGTATCGATAATGGCTTCATGATGAGATCTCTTGATATTGAATGTATAAAGACTCTGAGTCCAGTATAATGTTGGTTGCTGATTTGCAATTAGAATAGTTGCCGAGTCAAAAGTATTACACTGGGAAAGCCTCGGCTTAAAGATCATCAACCAAAATTAGGAAAATTGTATGAAAACCAACGGCAAATGTACAAGTGTTCTGTCTACGTACGGATAGCATAGCGTAGAACGAATTAAAACAAGCTCGCAAAGATTAAAGTGCTTCAATTCTTATTTCATGCTCATACATGGTTGAAAAGATCACTGCAAATCGCGGATTTCGGGCCGTGCACGTCACGACGAGCCGATCATAGTCATGATACATCTCAACAATGGTAAAGCAAGAGATAACAAGGCGACCGAGTCAGCACGAATAAACTTTTCAATTCATCCCTTATATAGCATCTATATAGATACTCATCCATGCCCATTCCGTTTGTTTTATGCTGCCGTTACACATCTATCATGAAACACATGAAGCTTGCCCTTTGCGACTGGACCAGCCTCAACCGACTCTATCGGCCAAGGGGGCGCATTCCGGGTTAAATATGCAGATAGATCCAATTCCCGTTTCCTGAGCTGTCCGTCACATAAGTAAGTAACTCAAGACTCAAAGCTGGCCTCTTATCATAAGACATCCCATTGAATTCTTGCCGTGTCTAGCACGGCTCAAGATTTGACCAGTCGCTGTCAACCTCTCAATCATACCTTTACAGGTACTCGGAAGGAGTCTTGACGTTGTTCCTGGAAGCCCACGACTGGAGATCAGCGCGGCAGTTGTCAAGAGCTCCGGTGATGGCGAACTGGGTCTCAATACCCTCAACTCGGTGGGTGGAGTTGATGTTCTTGACCAGGGTGATCTGGAAGCAAGTAGCACTGCCCTGGCGAGAGATGATGGTGGAGTAGGCAAGGAAGTACTCCCAGATACGGAACCATCGCTTGCCGTACTTGGCCTCAACCTTGTCGCGGTTGGACATCCAGTTGCGGTACCACCTCCAGAGGGTAGCAGAGTAGTGAACACCGATAGTATCAATGTGCTTGATCTCGAAACCGGTACCCTCCAGCTTGTCGACAACCCAGCCGAGAGGAGTAGAAGCGTCAGCACCAGGGAAAATGTACTTGTTCATGAAAAGACCCCAGGTGAAATCCTCGTATTGCCAAGCCTTACGGAGGCCAGCGTACTGAAGGAAGAAGACACCATCATCGTCAAGCATGTCATGAACCTGCTTCAAGAAGCTGCCGAAGTGGCGGATACCAACGTGCTCAGACATCTCAAGACTGGTGATCTTCTTGTAGCCACCCTCGGGAACGGGAATATCACGGTAATCCATGCAGAGAATCTTGCTCTGCTCCTCGGGGATGCCGGCCTTGCGCATGCTGCTGTTACCCCAAGCGGTCTGGTTGCGGCCAAGAGTGACACCGGTGACGTGGGCGCCATACTGCTCACTGGCAAAGCGAGCAAGAGTACCCCAACCACAGCCAATATCAAGCATAGAGTCACCCTTGTTGAGGCCAATCTTCTCGCAAACGACAGTAAGCTTGTTGTCCTGGAGCTCCTCAAGAGTCTCCTCGCGGTTGATGTCGGAGATGATACCAGAAGTGTAGATCATGCGGGGACCAAGGAACCAGCCGTAGAAGTCATCACCACGGTCGTAGTGGTCACGGACCTGCTCCTCATCTGTGGTACGTTAGTGTATCTTTCAATTGATCCTTAATTGGAGCACATACCCTGAGAACGAGTGTGCATGATAACCTCAGGAATCATGCCAAAGAGGAAGAACTTGATGAGGCCAATGGTGAAGCGGAAGCTGGCCCAGTCGTGGCGGTACTCCATAACCTCGAGGCAGTCACCCTTGAAGTCAACATCACCATCGAAGTACATCTCGTGGAAGGTCTCCATGGGGATCTTGTTGCTGCCACGGTACTTGAGGCGGTCGGCCTCCTTCTTGAACTCGAGGTAGTGCTCGACACCACGGTTGGGAAGGCGAACCTTCTCATTCTTGCGAGGGCTGATGGAGGAGATTACAAGCCACCAAGCGGCAAGCAGGGGAAGATCGACGATGAGGGCGAAGAAGATGGTGGTCTTGAATCCACCACCAACCTTTCGGCTGAGGAACCAAGGGACAAGGACCAAGATGGAGATGAGGACATAGTTGTTGAAGGTATCGGCACCAGAGCCATCGGCAGGGAGAGGGGCGTTCTTGATGGCAGGGTACTATAGGGTGAATATCAGCATTGATTCTCTGGTATCAAAGAGGACAGACAACGCAACGATCATGAGCATCGAGTCAAAACTTACCCTGGTAGTGGGGACACCAACATCCTCAAGCTTGTCAAAGTCAGGCTTGGGATAAGGAGGAGTTTTAACAAACTCAAAGTCGGCGCCGGTGACGCCTGATTTCTCTGCCATTGTGACGACAGATCCCAATGGCTACCAAAAGCTTTGAGAAGATATGATGAAAGGGAAGAGGGAGAAAGTCGTTGAGGCGGGTTTATTTTTTAAGAGGGCGACTGGATGGAGATTTCGTGGGGCAGAACCCAAAAAGGGAGGGAGCTTTGGCCTGTGTTTGGGGAGGGGCGGTGTGAAAAAGACAGGGCCCAGATGAACTCACTGGCATATGATTGGGTGGCTGGGCCACCTAAACCCCCTAGATTCACAAGATTAGCGTCAGGTCGGTAGTTTTAAGGTGTTCTTTTCAGCGGTGATAGGGGTAAGATAGCAAGCAGTGCAGGTAATTATTGCGAGATCCAATTCAATCCAATGTCTCGGGGAGGGACGGGACAGTCCAGATCGTTAATTGCCCATCAATAACTTATAGATCATAGCAGATAAACATGACGAACTGATGCAACATGCAAGCAGCTTCTCTCTCTCCTGAGCTTAATCCCAGCCACAAAACGCAGGTACAGACACAGTCCAGCCAGTCATTCCCTCACCACTTGTCGATCAAACCCCCACCAAGCTCGTTCCAGTTCCAATTCCAATCCAACGTCTCTGAGGTCTGAGTCGATATCAGCCTCCGGATTTACCTGTCCTTTCTCTCTCGTACTCGGCTTTACCAGATACGAATTCAGTGCATGGTTCTTTCAGGGGTTCGTAGGTCTTATGCACGACACCATCTCAAGTTTAATCGCTGACCCCTCTTTTTTAGCAGCTGAGGATACGTGGCCCTTCAGGACTCTGATTTTGATCCATGGCTTTCGAGGCCACTTTTCAAGCTACCACTAGCAAAGTAGTAGCTCTACGGAGTATGTAGTACGCTGACTCTCCAGCCACAATCAAGACATTGATAATTCAGCACAGGAAGAAACAAATAAAAATTAATTTAATTTAGCTGCCTGTTTGAGTGTTTCAGCTTGACCGGACCTGACAGGGCTTCTTTGCCTAAGTTAGCTGCTGGGACATAAACTCGCCCCCTCGATGCCCGTGTCCGCGGGTCCCGACCCATCTCAACACCAAAGCTATTCGCGGGGTAGAGAAACACGCCTGTTCATGGAGTAACTCACACACGCTCCATAAGAGTATCACAGTGAATCATCAGTAGCTTCACATGATCTGAAATGGATTAACATTTCAAAATTACTTTGTTCTTGTGCTGAAAGTACTTCACCCCAAAGATTCATATTACCATCAAGACTTGGTTAACATTGAAGAAACCGTGGCAGAGTACTCCTGGACACGATTCCAGCCAGCCAGAAGTAACAGTTCGACTTTTGTCTTGATGATCTATTTGACAATATGCTCTGCCCTTCAGCTCCGGGTCCCATACCTTGGAGTGGAATGAGAACGTTCGCTGTTCAAGTCTTGAGACAAGTACCTAGGTATCTACATGCTCATTTATGCTCCCCTGTCAGAATAACCGTCAAAGGGCATTTCAATGTTTGACTGTCAAGAAGTCACTTCCAAGGATGCATTTTTCGCAGTATTCCCGCCAAACAGAGCCTGAATCAACTCTTCAAGTGTTTCATATGCTTACTGGTTCAGTGTCAGGGACAGAGGGAGACCGAATAATGTCTTGCCAAGCTTCGGCCAAGCTGACATAAAACTTTCAGGGTCCAGCAAGGATTACCAGGCTGATAACCTTATTTGACATGGTCCAGATATGAAGCAATGCTCAGGCTACAGCCTTAGTGCAGGCAGTTGTCTGTTCCTCGAGAAGAAATAAAAAGGCATATGCAGCCCTCAGGCTGTCTTCCCCATCAAGCCCTGCGATAGGTAATGAATCATTTGATTACGGTCTCGTGACTTCATGACTGCTACTATTCAGGATCCAGCCTGCATTTATTATACCTTGATGGCCTATAACTGAGGGTGAGGAGGTGGTAGCACATATCAGCCGATTATGCAGCTCAATTCCTTCGCCGTGGTTTTTCTTTTTATGCTTGTGTAGCATTTGGATCAGGCCACTCGGGTGAGGACCTCGGATGTATGTTGGTCTGTCGTTGACGAGTTGACTTGTCGTTTGAAAGTTTCGTGGCAGATAGGAGAGTTGTGCGCCACGTTTTTGGACATTATGTTTCTCCTGTTATTCCTCTTGGGATTCCAACGTTGTTTCCGTGCAAAAACTGACGTTCTTCACGTGTTGCCTGGTCGCTAACCGGCGTGTTGGTGCAAGTTGATGAATGTGTCGCTTGTTTCAGACGTCTCCATACCAGTTGCTTGGAACTCTGGCAGTTGCAGTTTAACAGAGGTTCGGACCCCAGCGACATGAAGACGAGAGTTTTCCGGGTCATGGGCGACGTATCATTGAGACTCTTAGCGTTGAAAAGGGGTGCAATCCTGCAGAAGAATCATGTTTGGCCAGTTGCAGATAATGTGTTGTGATTGTCTGTTGGTTGTTCGAACTTTGTTGGAAGAATTGGGTTTGTCGAGTGGGGGCTGTCGATAAACAGGCTAGGTACTAGGCTAGTAGGTAGACAGGTGATTGTGATTCCGAGAACCATGTTACATTTTCATGGATCGATAAGTCAGATTTTCAGT